TACTGGCGTTGCCTAATACAGTGTTGGCGAACCTTTTTGGAACTGAGTAGCAAAACAGTAGTGCGCGTGCATGTGCAGGAGAGCGCTGGAAACCGGAAGAGCAGCTCCTGGGCATGCCTGTGTGTGCTGGGAAGCCGAGCTTCTAGTTTCCAGCGTGCACATGCATGCCGGCCATCTGGTCTTCCGGTTTCTGGCATGGATGCATGCACGAAGACCAGCTGGCCAGTGCGCATGCACGCACTGGAAACCAGAAACTCAGCTTCTCGATGCGCACATGCACACCAGGGACTGCTCTTCCGGTTTCCAGCACTTCCACGCGCACAAAGACCAGGGTTGCCATCTGGCCGTTTTTCCGGCCAAATTCGAGAAATCTAGCCGTATTTCTATCTGCTTGGCCGTGAAAAAATGATGTCTCCGGCCAAATTTATTTGGCCGGAAATTTGGCCGTACGAAAGTTGCTTGGCCGTGAAATCGGCCAAATGGCAACCCAGCCGCTCTCCTTCCCTCATGCATGTGCGTCACCATGAGCAAAAGGAGGACAAGCGCGTCCTCTGGCGCTCCCCTTCCCTCGCGCATGCGCGTCACCATGAGCAAAAGGAGGACAAGCGCGTCCTCTCAGTTCTCCGACACGCCCGCTTCCTCTCAACTCCCGTCACACACCCCTTCGGGACCTTGGCACCCGGCCACGCCCCCTTCCTGCCTGTGACCCGAGCAGGGGCGGCTCCTCCTCCATCAACACCACACCCATTTCTATTACGGCTCGTTCCAACACCACGCCCCTTGGCTTCCCCACCCATCCCGAGCTCTCCATCCCTCGCGCATGCGCGTCACCATGAGCAAAAAATAATTTGGCCGAATTTTGACTTGAGTTTGGCTGCAGAGCCAAACTGCGATCTGGCAACCCTTACAAAGACCAGATGGCCGGAAACCGGAAAAACAATGGGTGATGGCTGGCGGGCCCAGAGAGTGGCTCTACAGTGCCACTTCCAGCACATAGGTTCACCATCACGGGCCTAATATTATTAGAGATGGTAGAATAGGAGAGCTTCTTCTAACATCTATTACCATCTCTACAGCTTTAAGAGCATTCAGTTCCAGCTTGTTCCAGCTGCACCACAGGGCCAATTTAGAAGACCAGCTCATTTCTTCTCCAGGAGAAGAACGTTTGAAAAGAGCTGAAATATTTATTCTGGGCACAAAGCAATACATTTCAGAGTTCAAGAAATTTCATAAACCAGGGTACACACATTGTACTCTTTAAGTCTAATCCTTTGGCTCAGCCTGATTCATCTCCACAAGTTCACAAGTTATGGTTGGAAACAGTTCAAGAACATAGCTATTCACTTCTGAATGTTCAGATAGTGCAAAGTCATGGCATGCCTTGAATTTACAAGGAATCTCATCAACCGTTCTGAAGTTTCTACATTTCCCCCCATCAATAGAAATATTTAAAGAAGATCAGGAAATGAAAAGCATTTTGCAAGTCCTCATCGGTTGGTCCTGGTGCCATTTTTTATTACGAGAAGAAAGCAGCTATTGAAGGAAACGGCATTTGTTTTCTTGATGTTTGTAATCATCACGAATTCTTGCAAGATCCATTTTAAATGTGCTGGATGAAAGGGGGGAAATGAACTGGCAATTGAAATTCCTGAATGCCTATCAAATTTCGTTAAAAGGTTATAGCATCCTCCACTTTATCTCCAACGTTCGCACGAATAGAAACTAAAAGAGGCATGTTTCCTACACTGAGCTAAGTCACAAATATAATCATATTATAAGCTAATTTATTTATGACAGATCCATGGCTAACGGACTAAATCCAATTGTGTTGGTTTGTAGGATAGTCACCGAGCAACCATCTTTTACTCCAGCCTGTTGTACAATTCTAGACAAAAACACATTTTGCGCTACGTTCTTGCTTTCTTAACCAGGATTAATTGAATAATCCATCATTGGTCAGATTCACACATCTCAAAGTCCTAAAAAATTAGTTTATAAGCCAAAGCAGCTAAGCATATTCTGCATGCTAAGTCTTAATGTGGCTTTTTTTTTTCTAGGTCTTTTTCTGCGTCAGTTTTCTATATTTTTATATTTCTTGGATTTTAACTTGGAGTTCTATGTCAACCCAACTACATTATGATGCATCTGACTGAAGCTTTGCACAAGCATTTTCAAATTTGTGGCGCCTGACACTATATGAATTAATGTGATACCCTTCCCCCATTCATAAAATCAATGATATCATTAGAGGTACTAATCAGTAGGAAACAAATATGTCACTTCCTTTTATTAATCATTTTAAAATCTATTATTAAATGCAGGTAGTCCTTGACTTACAACAGTTCATTTAGTGACCATGCAAAAGTACAGCAGCACTATGACTGTTTTTCACACTTAAAAGCATTGTAGCATCCCCATGATCATGTGATCAAAATTCAGCTGTTTGGCAACTGATTCATATTTATGACGGTTGAAGTGTCCAAGGGTCATGGGATCCCCTTTTGTGACCTTCTGACAAGCAAAGTCAATGGGGAAGCCAGATTCACTTAACAACTATGCAGTGATTCCCTTAACAAATGTGTCAAGAAAGGTCTTAAAATGGGGCAAAACTCACTTAACCAATGTCTCGTTTAGCCACAGAAATGTTGAGCTCAATTGTGGTTATAAGTCGAGGACTACCTATAACCACTGGCGCTGGCTTCCCACAACGCCACAATCACCAATTAGCTAAACAGAGATTAGCAAAGTCACGCATCTGCCAGTTTGTTCTTCAGGATAATCAGATCTCCCAATCACCTCTTCTAGGAGCCACAAGAAGAGAAGAGAAGAGAAGAGAAGAGAAGAGAAGAGAAGAGAAGAG